GGGCTCACTGCACATACAGGTATGTGACTGACAGCACTGCTGGGAATTACATGTCAAGTTGGGATGAATAGCAACACTTAATGTCAATGCTATGTGTTTCAATACTGAACTGCAAAGTGACATTTAGTAGCATAACATAGAAAACAAACGTAAGCTACAGGGGTATATTTAGAGGATCATAACAATAATCCAATGTCTGTCTGTCTGTCTGTCTGTCTGTATGTATGTATGTGTGTGTGTCTGATGTATGTATGTATGTATGTATGTATGTATGTATGTATGTGTGTGTGTGTGTGTATGTATGTATGTATGTATGTATGTATGTATGTATGTATGTATGTATGTATGTGTGTGTGTGTGTGTGTATGTATGTATGTATGTATATGTATATGTATATGTGCATGCAGATATTGACTCCTTCGAACTGAATGAACTTCATATTCTAGGAAAACAATGGTACTTATTTTCTATATAATTTCACCATCGTAGTCGGTATCGACAAATTTGATTTTCCTGGTGTATATTTCGATGTGATCCAACTTTAATCATAAGAATATATCATGAGGTTCTGAGGAGGTAGCATTCCAGATAGAACTCAGATAAAATACACTGACGTTGCCTACACCCTGGAACGGGATGTTAAGTTTAGATGCATTGAATCAGAGAAGCGTGGTGTTGTTGATATAGTTGCTGCAACATGCAATGGCAGCTGTCACACGGTGCCATTAATTGGGCTTATCCATAACCTATTTCTCATCTATTTGACAATGTTGTTTTGTCGATGTTTGACATCGAACCAGCAATATGAGGGCGGGCTGTAACAAATCTGGATCATACAATCCAGTGACTGACAGTATGAGGATTACCAAACAATAAAGCGATGACATACTGCCAACAATGTCACCCAGTCAGACCACCCAATACACTTCGGGAACACTTACCACAAGCAAAGGTTGATGAGGACACAAGTTTGTATTGAGTGACAATCTCCTGCTGCACAAATACAGTTCAATACCATTGTCAACAACATGATCGAAGAAGGCTTTCAGTACCTTGTCTGCCAGACATGCATGTCCATGCTGGCTTTGTCTTGTTCCATCAATGGTGCACTTACTGATATGCCAACTGCAACTGCAGAGCGTCTCCAGTTTGCAGGCCAATGATTACTTTCCACTCTCGAAACACACAAGCTGTGACACCTACCCTGCTCTGCTGCAAATGTATTGACAATTTATGCAAAAATAACAGTGACTACAGTAAAGCCTGTATAACATGCCTGTCACAAATCTATACAATTTGTACCTGCACTGATGCACTAAAGACAAAATAATAGATTGCATGTTTAGTGTCGCCAAACCAAAACCTCCTTTATATTCATGTTCATATGACATACACCATGTAGGCTGTTGACAGAGGGTCACAGCCAATATATATTTTCAATTTGCAGTTAATTGGAGTGTTTTCCCTTCCACCCACTCTCACCATTGTTACCGAGGACAAGTCTTGATCGTTTACGTTACTTGTGACAACGACATTCAAAGTCTCAAAGTACGAATGAGTATAATTTTATATACTCCCGAATTACGTTGGTCAAACATGCAAAAATAAACACCCTGCAGCCAAAAACCAATTGAATATACAGATGGTAACTGTAACTGACTCACGGGCGTAGATGTTCCTGTGCTGACATCCAATGCCTATCCCCGTTCCCTATCCGCTCTTAGGACATTGACCTTGGTGGCACAGCACACGTTCTCACATTGTCGGACTAAAGTATAGACTCGTTCACATAAAGAGTAGAACTCAGGTTTAAAGTAAACAAGTATTAACTATTATTCCATTGTGTTACGTGGTCTAGTGGATACAGCGTCTGCCCAGACAGGTTGAGTGCGGTGGTTGAATCTCCTCGCCATAACGGTAAGATGTTATGAGATGTTGTTGCCCTGGCTATCGCCCAGTGGATAAAACCTGGCCTGGTGGGCTCAGAGTCGGAATACTGCGTCTGTGTGGAGTGTATATGTCAAACAGTGGAATGGATTCTCAGTTGCGTGTGTCTGTGTGTAGCGTGTATAGGAAACAAGGCAGTTCCAAGGTACTCTTCAATTGTTGCAGAGCTAACAATGGAGCAAGAGGGTGGTAGTTGCGTTTGGGGTTCATCTGCGTTTGATAGTAACTTGGATTTGGGGTCCATCTACCTCAGAGTGTAACTCGTGTTTGGGGGCCCATCTATCTCCTAGAGTAACTTGGGTTTGAGGTCCATCTACCTCAGAGTGTAACTTGGTTTTTGGGCCCATCTATCTCCTAGAGTAACTTGGATTTGGGTTCCCAAGGAGACCGTGGTTCTGGGTTGCGGGGTTCGTCAAGACATTACCCTGCTGTGCCCTGACGTTCTATACTCACATAACTTAATTGTGCCTCAGTCTCTTCAATACAATGTAGTTCGGTCAGGCTCGAACAGACTCGTCTCGGGATGGGGAAGGAAAACGACTGTGGTTCGACACGATCCGATGACTTTGAAACCCACACCCAACTTTTGTGGTGTTATCGATACGATGTTCGAGTCTGATCCGCCCATATCACATGTCCCGATATAGACGTTAGATTTGTCCTTAACCATATCAAACCAAGACCTGTCAGGTTTGCAATAAGACATGGTAGTATTGCGTGGCGACAGGAGCTTGTAAATACACCATAAGGATCGGTTAAGGGGAAATTAAAGTACATTCTGAACTCGACTACTGTTGTGAAGAGCACATATTCCAAAGTTTAAAAGCGGAAAAAAAACGATTTGCAAGTCAAATTTTCACAACACAGTATTAATGTTTCGGGCCAAAAACTTCTTTTGCAGTGTAGCAAGCATAATCATAATATCGACTTCCAAGGCCTGACTATCCACAGAAAAAGATTTCACTTCTTTTAAACGGCAAAATATACTCATGCCAATAATGGTTGTCACCCCCTTCAATTTTTTAATTGGTGACAACCATTATTGGCATGAGTATATTTTGAAAAATAATTTGAAAAGACCACTTAAAGTCAGTAATGACCAAGTTGTCTAAAAAAGGTCTTCGCGTACACAGGCAGTATAACATCCGAGCAGGTAGGATATTTTCCTTACAACAGGATCAGGACCTGGCTTCGATACGTTTCAGTGTAAACTTCCAATACTGTAAATTCTTCTTCTAAAATATATATTAGTCAGTGTTGAAAGATTCTTAGTCAATAAAATCAGAGAGCGGGAATGTCTCACCATCATTCTCAATAATCGTAGGAGCTTTCCAAGGGAGGTAACTCGTTGCTACGTACTGCTTTTCTTAATATAAATAGTGTTGTCGTTTCTTGTATCGTACCTAAACGAATCCTTTTGAGATTGAATGAATGAAATTGTTTATGAAATCAAGTCAGTGAGTTGGGCGTAAATAGGCCTCTCATTGGCCCACGTCGTCCTAAAACTATAAAACCAACCAACCAACCTGCTTTTCTTTAAGATATTGTATCGATTAATTTTACTGATGGGATCTTTGTTTGTTTAGTAACGTTTTCTTCCAAGATCTACTTATTTGATAAACGTTATTTTCAAAAGACATATTCCTATGGAAGATACTACCCTCTTGTCAATATTTAATTATGGGGCCACTTCATCTGAGAGGCGGGGGTGGGGGTGTGGGGGTGTAAGCCTGGTGATTAAAGCGTTGGCTCGTCACGCCGAAGACCCGGGTTCGAATCCCCACATGGGTACAATGTGTGAAGCCCATTTCTGGTGTCCCCCGTCGTGATGTTGCTGGAATATTGCTAAAAGCGGCGTAAAACCCAAACTCAGTCAGTCAGTCATCTGAGGGGTTTACATTTTCTAAACCGAAGACTAACACTAACGAAACATTGTTACCACCAACGATTCATGTTTCATTTCATGTTTACATTAGACTCACTCACTCACTCATACTCACTCACTCACTCACTCACTCACATTCACTCAAATGAAGAGATAGTGTTCTAACTATGTGAGTAAAGTCACACGTATTCCATGTCAGTGTACAAATATTGCAATATCAAAATCAGAATCATATAAACATGTCTGAGATTATTCATAGGAACACACATTGGTTATAATAGGTGACCCTGCATTGGTCATACTGACACTACCAAGTAGTGAATCACTTTCAGATAACAGTATGCCAGGTGACCCCTTGTTACAAATGCTACAGTAACTAAACAACATGCAGTACCAATTTCTTTTGATTTTGCATAGCATTTTAAAGGATTTACATGATTTTGGTCGTTTACCTCATTTACCTCAGACAGGCAAGTTCAAGTCCGAATGGGTTTAAACCTGTCTGAACATAACAATCAGGATCAGAGTATTCGTGGAGGCTTTTTGTTTTGTTTCTTGAGGTTCAGATATACGTACCATAGAGAGGCAGTTACAAACCTGCCTCAACAGAATTGATATGTAATGGCACCACTAACCAAAGTGTAAAGGAAGCCAAGTGTTCGGGCAGTATTAATGATAACCATTTAACTTAAAGCTAAATGCATGAACTCAAGATGGGTCAATTAGTTTCAGAATTATGCTCCGGAAACGAACTTTACCCCTCCAAGAGACAAAGTCCAAATTTTTGTCATGAAAACAGAAAAAAATAAAATTGAAAAATCATCAAACCGTCCCAAAAAGGCACATCTACATGATATGGAGAGACAGTATACCAAATTTGGTGAAGATTGTACAAGTAGTTTTAGAGTTATGTTCCCCGAAACAATGGAACGCCGACGCCGAAATTCAACCAAAAACAATATGTCTTCCGACCCTTCGGTGGGAGACATAATTCAAAGTAGAGAGGTGATCACACAACCATCTTGCATTTATGCGGGTCATTTGTCAGTTAAAAGTGATTTCGGCTTCATCGTGTATTGTTGAGCAAGGAAAAGTAATTTAGAAAAGCTAGATGCTATCCATCATCAAGGCATAGGACTTTGCCTTGTAGCTTCTAGAACATAAGGCAAACAAACAGACAGAAGTTTATTCATTATCTTAAGGCCACAGGCCCATAATAATACAATATATCTGCTGACATAAAAAATGTTTCATTCCTTGTAAAAACGGAACCTTTTCAAAAGGAATTTATAATAATAATAAGTGTGAATTAATAATGCGCTACATAATCTGATTATTATTACCCCGGATAACCCAAGCTGCCTGTGAGGCGCTAGAAGGTTAATAGCCACATGACTTATCCCACCGGGTACCCATTTTCTGCTGGGTGAACAGAGGCAATTTTGAACAAACTCACTTGCCTAAGGTGAGACCACATGTATCACATGTGCTTCGTTGTGGGCAGGTCTGAAATCCTAGAAAGTCTCAGGAGTCAAGTTGCCAAACACGCTCACCCATCCAAGGACTGCCCGCGTTCAACGTTGCTTAACTTGGAACTGATTCGTGACCTGAGCTTTATGCACAGGACCACACACTGCCACAACATATTTTATTTTTATTTTTATTGAAAAAAATACACCTAATTTATAAGGATATTTTTTTTATGTCTTATACACAAAAACACGTCCAAGGGACAACCTCACATCAATATGTTTTATAGACATTATCTGAAATGAAATGATCTACTGTACGACTGAGTACAACAGTCAATAGCGGTAATGGTTTCTACGCATTGTATTCGTAAGGTGTCGAGTTCTTGGTTAAGCCTGCTAAAAATAACTCGTAAGGCATATTCTGACTCGCATGACCTCTCGACAGATGGGACGATAACAAACAATTGATCTTTATATAACTTCGCCGCATATTCATAAAATAGTAACGCCCCGCAAGGTACATCGTCGTCATTGACTGTGACCTTGGTAGTGGGAGATTGTAATAAAATGGATTTTTTAATCAATTCACCTTCTTCAATATCGTCTGAAATTATGCGAACTGCTTTTAATGTCTTAAATTTACAAGTAACTCTGTTTGTACAATTTGACATTTTAACATCTGTGCCATGAGCACGCGAAATCATTTTACAGTTTGTATTTATCACTGGATCAGTTTCATTAACAACTGGCCAAATACACCTACACCAATTGTGGTCAAAATTGCAAATGAATATTGGAAATGGCCACAAGAGCGGCGGTATACTGCAAGTATTTTGTGTTGAATCTGTTAAAGTTAGGATATTGTTCTGACCTGAAGAATGAAACAATTCCGACACAATTAAGTTTAATGCATATTTTAAAATGCATGACGTCTCACCTCTTGTCGGTATAAATATAAAATATTCTGATGTCGAAATACACTTATCAATATTTTCAATTTCTGTTTTACAATCATCAAATGAATGATAGATGTCTACCACAGTGATACCTAAAACACTTTCAAGATATTCACGAATTCTAGTAATATTTTTATCAGTGTTTTTATCATTATATTTATCATTTTCGTCAAACACTAAACACACTTGCTTCATTTTAGACAGAAATGTACTCAGTGTTTTCATATCAAGAGGCAGATACCCTTCCCCTGTCAGTGGGTTGGTGTAAAAGAACCTCTCAGTGCCCTTTGTGGACAGCCAAGGATCGAAACAAAACCAAGGAAAAAATATTTGACATTTTTTCTTTGCAGGCCACACTTGAATATATGACTGCATACATTCCATATGTTTATCAACAGGCAGTGAACGTGTTTCAGCCTGTATTATCAACATTGGATATTCAGCTGTAGTAATTTTCTTTTCATCTTTACAAAATGAACGTAAAATTGATATAGTACCATCATACCATCTGAAAGGTATATAACAAGTTGGCAAAGTACCATCATACCACCTGAAAGGTATAAAAATTGACAAAGTAACATCATACACCCTGAAAGGTATACCTAATTTCATAACATGTGCCATTAACATATTCAGTTTCTCTTCTGATACAATCAACACATCGTGTTGTTTTTCTAAACAGTTTCGTATTCCACGTTGCTGTACATCAAGTGACTCTTCTGATACAATCAACACATCGTGTTGTTTTTCTAGACAGTTTCGTAGTCCACGTTGCTGTACATCAAGTGTCTCTTTTGATACAATCAACACATCAAGTGTCTTTCCGGGTACAATTACTCTTCGGTTGTATTCCAGTTCACGCAGCTGTAGATCAACCATCTGCTGATTACCTAGTTTACCGGTTAAGGTTGAATGCACCTTTCTTTCTGGCTCCTTCATACCTAAATAAAGACAAAGTAGCAGCTTCGTCAGGAATACATCTACACAGGTTTATACATGTAAACAGTCACATGTTGTTAAGTCACGCAAACATTTCAGTGAGATAACCACAGCCTTCTGTCAGCTGCATGTAACGCCTCGCCCGTTATTGTTCATGTATTGACCTAGATTATACAACTGATTTCCTACTTTCTGTTTCATTTTTCCAAATATAGCAGTTCATTTACAGTTCACTGGAATACATACGAGAGAACAGTGTTCTATAGGAACACAATATGTATCTTTCAGAACATCAATGTACTTAATAGTTGCTTGTATTGTATTGTAAAATTTGTATTGCGATTTTTCTATACAGGAATACTTTACTCATTGTTGTTTGATGTCATGTGGATTGCAAATGGCGTCCATTATATGATGAGATCACCGTTGAATACTACGTTGTAAACAAACATGAAACGTTTCAGCTGAAGAGGAACATACTTCTTTAAGAACGTGACTTCTACTCGTACAGCCGACACTATAATAAATTCACTTATCATTAAGGAAACCTGTCCGGTGGATCCGTCATTGGTTACACATAATTACATATATAACAAGATTCAAATCTGAACACTAATCTATTAGTTTGAATGTCACAAAGATAAATAAAGATACATGACACGACCAGTTATAAAAGAGTAGCGCTTACATAATCTGGGATGTTGCTTCAGGAGTCGAAATTCGAAATGTGGACTTCGTTGAACAACCATGACAGCCGTCTAACTCATGTTCACGGACAACTAAATACGCATGACGGTGACATGCGCAGTTTACTGTAGGAAAGGTACGATATTTTTTCTAACATGACATAAGACTAGTATCAAATGTCCTTAGAGAAAAGCATTCTGTGCTCAGTTGTTTAATTACTAAAAAAGAATGCTACAAAAGAATGTTCTTTAGACTATATCACATATAACGACATATGAACATGATCTGAGCATGAGCGACGTCACATTAAGCTGCCGTATCAAGTGAACTTCTTGGAAACTTATTGTCGGTGTTCAACAAGGCAGTGGCCTCAGTCCTATTCTTTATTCGCTGGTCATCAACAAAGCGTCACCGCACATAACCGCCCCTTTGATGATGGCTATAAATTTCAGATTACATGTTGTTGATGTAATACTTATAGCTGACACAGCTGAGTCGATAACATAAACAGAATGATATTAAGTATGCGTGGCATATACATGTTCTATGTTGAACATATAACTTGAAGCAACCTGGAGAGGTAAATTCAAGTGGACCAGTTAGTGATTGAGAGAAGAGTTCGCCGCTTTAAGCAATATCACGTCGAAGGACACCAGAGTTGAGCTTCATCATTGTACCCATATAATCAACCCCAAACCAGGATGAGCGAACGCTCTAAACACAAGTCTACCCTAGCGTACATAAACATCATTGTTAGGACAAACTCTGACTCACCGTGTCGGGTATTTCTTTATTAGCGTGTCTAATGCATGCCTGATGTTTTATAAATAGACCAGTAATGTAGTGGGTTTTTCCTTCATATCATAACACTGAAATTAATTAGGTTTGACTTTGGATAAGGTTATAAGTCATAAATATACAAGACATAATATGTATATGTAATGTCGTTAAAATGCGGGAACTAATCATCCGAATCGTGCACTCGTTAAGGTGTAAATTACAATACTACGGGTTCTATCTGAGTGCAACAACTAATCACAATACAGTTCCAAAGTACACATCAACAGCACGTAATGGAGAAGGGTGACGAGAGAACACTATACATCAATGATAAGTCGTCGGAGGACAGTATTACAACTAGATTATCACAAAGTTTTTAAAACTATTTTGACTGCACTTGTACATGTGCAACTGAGTTTATCATACACTTGATAACACCTCCATGACAGACTAAATGGCGGTGGACAGACAAAATGGCGAATTCCGGGTGTAATGTCACCACTGTATGTTGGGCAAATCAAAAGTGTAATTTTGGGACGGGCTCGTTCAAACGTCCTCTCACTACATTGAGTGACTACTCAAGAGAAAACAGATTAAGACCTATCAGTAGATAATTCCGTACAATATAACAGGAAGGCGAACTTCAACACCATCCTAAATGCGTCTCTAAGTATCGTCAAGTCACACAAGTTCGATCGTCATGTAACTTCAGTAGAGGAAAATGTAGGAAATCATGACAACAATACCAGTTACCTCCCAATTTCAATAGAAATCGATGAAGCGTGAGCGAGTGTACAATGGAGTGAGGTACTTGAATGTGCAGTGGACCGAAGAAGACTCCCTAAAGATGTGGTAACAAAGGGGACAAAGGAAGGTATTGAATTGAGCGGTGTGAATTGAGCGACGATGGTGTTCGTTGGGTTGGATAGGAAAAGTCCGTCTGCTTTAAGACTGTCGTCTGCTAGCGAACCACTTCCGGTTTACACGTCCGAGGAAGGTTGCTGAAACAGTCTCGTTGCGTCGTTGCGGGGTGTGTGTGTGTGTGTGTGTGTGTCCCCGTCCGTGTGTGTGTGTGTGTGTGTGTGTGTGTGTGTGTGTGTGTGTGTTATTAAATGTAATCGGTATATTTAATACATTTGAATGAAATTGCGGTCATGTAGGAATGTATGTGCGTGTAGATTTTATGCATGTATCGGAACATGAATGTATGACACCTTTCAATAGATCCATTACGGTTCTAACCACGGCATGAAACATTACTATGAGTGTGGCTAGCAGTTCGTATTTATAAACACATCGTAAGTAACAGATTTCTGATGAATGAACTCGCCCGCACACATGTCTAGGGTCAACATAACTCTGGGTATTTTCAGACCATCCAACTGTAAACAGTTACACGTTGATAACAGGAGGGTGTAGCGTTTGTTCGGAATGCACTCATCCTTGTAAAGGTAAACCCATGTAAAAATACGCGTTTAAACTCACAATTTAAATGATGGCATTACTTTTTAGATGTATTGCTATGGATGGGAGGTTCGTAGATCTGTGAAGTGTGTATCGATGTCTGTCTAGGGACTACACATATATTATCATCGAGGTATATAAGGATTATATTCTAAGTATGCAACAAAAGAAAACCCGACAAAACAAGCAATTCCATTCATATCATTTATTGATTCAAGTCAATCGGTTCTATACAAAGCTGTGATATACGAATGGACAATAGGATTCACTCTGGAACATTAAAGTCAACAGTTCAGTCACTCTAGACACAGGCTGCTGCTTCAAGGCGCGATTGTTTAAACGGCAAGTCCATGTTTTGAAACACATTTCGCACTGTTGAATATTCAGTTCACCTTTCCTATGCTGTTTTAAGGTTGAATGGTTATCAATAGTCCATGTTTTATCCACTGCCTTTAACGATGTCCGTCCAGGGGGTCCCAGTTTCACAACTCCTCTCACGTATTGGAAAATTCGGCGTTTCTCATCGTTCAAGCGCCTCAGTGTATGAGGTGTTTTCAAAATATGAACCAAACTAGACGTGCGGCGTTGACTCGGCATTCTCTTCTGACTGTTAGACTGATATACTAATGACCGGTATTTATTTCCTATCTCCTAAGGCTTTTGTGATCTGTTGCGCGTGCGCCAATGTCCTTTGAGACTGCTTACAGTTCAGTTCAAGATGTCTTACCTGTGTGACGCATGTTCTGGGTGGCTGCCCGTGGAAGCCAACGGTGAAGACCATCAAGGATTATTTACCTGTGTGTATTGAAAGACCAAATTAAAATACACATACCATCGCTTTTTAACGCATAGTCACAAGTGTGCTGTGAAGAAAAGAGTGTCTTCTAAGATTCCCTCCTGCACGTGTAAGATAGTATAAACTCTATGGTAGTGTAGCCTGACAAACAGTTTAACTCTCGCCAGCAAACGGGTTGGACGTGAACAACATGAAGAAAGCATCAGAGATTAGACTTGACCCTAGAGATATATTTGGGAAGACCACGTTGATAAAGTCACAACAGAGAATGAAACCACCAGCACCCAAGAAGTCGATGCTGAAGACAAAGAAGAGACAGGTAACACCTAAAATGATAGCAATAGCAATACATCTAAAAAGTAATGCCATCATTTAAATTGTGAGTTTAAACGCGTATTTTTACATGGGTTTACCTTTACAAGGATGAGTGCATTCCGAACAAACGCTACACCCTCCTGTTATCAACGTGTAACTGTTTACAGTTGGATGGTCTGAAAATACCCAGAGTTATGTTGACCCTAGACATGTGTGCGGGCGAGTTCATTCATCAGAAATCTGTTACTTACGATGTGTTTATAAATACGAACTGCTAGCCACACTCATAGTAATGTTTCATGCCGTGGTTAGAACCGTAATGGATCTATTGAAAGGTGTCATACATTCATGTTCCGATACATGCATAAAATCTACACGCACATACATTCCTACATGACCGCAATTTCATTCAAATGTATTAAATATACCGATTACATTTAATAACACACACACACACACACACACACACACACACACACACACACACACACACACACACACACACACACACACACACACACACACACACACACACACACACAAACACACACACACACACGGACGGGGACACACACACACACACACACACACACACACGGCAACGACGCAACGAGACTGTTTCAGCAACCTTCCTCGGACGTGTAAACCGGAAGTGGTTCGCTAGCAGACGACAGTCTTAAAGCAGACGGACTTTTCCTATCCAACCCAACGAACACCATCGTCGCTCCATTCACACCGCTCAATTCAATACCTTCCTTTGTCCCCTTTGTTACCACATCTTTAGGGAGTCTTCTTCGGTCCACTGCACATTCAAGTACCTCACTCCATTGTACACTCGCTCACGCTTCATCGATTTCTATTGAAATTGGGAGGTAACTGGTATTGTTGTCATGATTTCCTACATTTTCCTCTACTAACTTCGATCGCCCATTTTGAATGGTAATTGTCGCAATATGTAAGGATAACTTACGATATCTGCAGCTTTGATCTTCTGGTTACACCATTTTCATTCGTTTGGACCGGAAAATGTTTCGTGTCAAGTTACCAAATGTACGTTATAGCTTATTTTCAGCAAACAACTACTTTTTAACCCTAGATCAATAATGTAACTTTATCAGCTCAAATAAAATGTAAACAGTATAATTTTCACACGTTGTAAATTGACAGCACCCCTGTCTTCTGTTTGTTTACGTTGCTGGTCTAATTGTGACATGTTCAGACACGTGATATCCTTGTCAAAATTTAAAACTTGGGAAACAAGTACTAGTAAGGGCCATTTCTTATAGAAAACTTAATGCTTTTTGAGAATTCCCGTGAATTTGTACCTGATGAAGTTCGAGCTATTGCCTCATTGATAAATAAAACCTGGGCAAAATGTACCCACCCTACATGTCAGCACAGAACACATTTACGTTTCTGCAAGCCAGTTCGTGGTGTTTGTCGACATTCTGAGGTTTGATGCCCGTCACGATGTGCCTAAAGAATAATTCCCTGCATAATACTTGTATATAAGCTGAATATTTGTGACTTTTCATCGTTTTTAGAAGTATTGACACATAAAATGAACGTGTCATGGACATAAATACCATAAAATTACTTGGGACTGCTCTAGCTCTGAATTTGACACAAGAGATCGTCCTTACAAGTCATCCTGTTTACGTGACAAGCCAGCCAATCATATGATCGAACTTATGTGACGTAGCTTTCTGGGTCACTTGTGTTGACAGTGAGAGGGCGGCCATGCCGCGATTGTGAAAAGC